TAAAGTATTTTTCAGAAAAACAAAAAACAATTATTGTTGCTTTTTATAGTAGCTGTTGTCCGCCACCTCATCATCTGTTCAACTGTCCTGTCCGCAGGCACTCAGGACATCTATAGACGCATACGATAACTTTGACAACATCTCACTGGCCCAGCGTCTGGAGAAACACGAGCTGATCGAGTTCAGGAGAATCGCTGCTTACCTCTTCAAGGGCAACAACCGATGGAAGCAGAGTGTGGAGCTGTGCAAGAAAGACAAACTCTACAAGGTGAGGTGGATGATGGGGTTATTGTCTAGTCATGCTATTTGTAAATGTAGTTGATCGGATTCGTGACAGCCATGCATGTTCTTCTACCCAGGATGCAATGCAGTATGCGTCTGAGTCGAAGGACATAGAACTGGCCGAGGAGCTGCTGCAGTGGTTCCTTCAGGAAGACAAGAAGGAGTGTTTCGCCGCCTGCCTCTTCACCTGCTACGACCTGCTCAGGCCTGATGTGGTGCTGGAGACGGCGTGGAGGCACAACATCATGGACTTCGCCATGCCTTACTTCATCCAGGTGACGAGGGAATACCTCAGCAAGGTAAGGATGGGCTGCTACTCTAAAGTGGGGAAGGACTAGGAATGCCACTTAAAAATAAAACAAAGATTAATTATTGTGAATTATTTCAAAACAATGACCTTCGACTAACGTTTGAAGGTTGAATTAAATTAATTTAAATTTGTTTAGCTGAAAAGTAACATTTACATACAGTAAATTGTATTTGTATAATTATTATTAAATAATTATGATTATTAGTATAACTAGGGATGCTCCGATCCGCCTTTTTTGCCTCCGATACCGATTCCGATACCTAGGGTTCGGTATTGGCCGATACCGATTCCGATCCGATACCAGTGAAGTTTTTTTCCCTCATTTAAATAAATGTAGAATTTATATATCTCTGTGTGTGGAACTGATAATCATTCTTTCACAATCTACTAGATACAGACTACTTCATTATAAAGAAAAATAAAATAAACAAATATGAAAAAATCTAGGCCTATGTATATTTATAATCTATGACAAAAATGTATCATAAACTAGGTTAGTGGATAATTCGGCAGCAAAAGTTATTCTAGAAAAATCAGTGCACAATAATTTTAGAAATCCAAACATTTAGTGAAAAAACTATGTTGTGGGGAACAAATAAAAGTGTTGCACTAAATATGGTAAAATGTTACACATTGCTATTTGTATTATTATAAAATCCATTAATTAAAAACATTCATGAATGTATTTATATACAAGTA